AATCTTATTCTGAATTTGTTTTTTTCCCTTCTTTGTGTAGTTAATAAATTTCTTTTTATACCCTTTTAAGTTTTAGGCCTGCCTTGCTCTTTTGCTCCTGTCTCTGTCTCACAACAGGAAAATGACTATATTTAAATTGGCAAGTCAAAACTTTGACATTATTTGGTGCATTGAGCAGGAAATTCAAATTAAACTAAAGTATTTTTTGAGAAAATTAAATTAAACCAAGACAGGGAGCTACCTACTTAAACTGACAGCAAACATTGTCATGATAATTTTTTTCTTAGTGTATGCTGATTCTTCATCATGCTGATGCAACAAGTGTGAGACCTGCAAGTTATTTTGAAAACAGGCCCCTCTCAGCAGCACCGCAAATTCATTTTAGTAAAAAAGAGTGGATTTCTCTCATGAAGTCTGTCTTTGAAATTCTGGCTGCCTCAGTCTCCAGGGAAAGCTTCTCTCCTTTCATGCAAAGTACATAAATTCCATTGGACAATTTAAAATGCATTAGCTATCCTTCTATGGTTAATTTGGTAATAGGTATTTTGGTATTCAATTCCCTTTTCTCTCTGTGACCACTTACCCTGCTGGTGGAATTCTTTCAATGGATGCATGGAGCCATGTTATGCACCATGTCCGAATTGTCTAGTGAGGCTTTTTTTATGGCCTACCTTTTAGGAGTGTCAACTTAGTTGCCACTATCATTAATAAAATCAGAGAATTGTGCCTTGCCTCTATAAAGTGAGCACAAATCATAATGCAGTCCTGGGAAAAAACCAAATTTCAACACTTCAAACTGTCAGATCTCAGGCTTGTACTGCAGTTAATCACAAAAACTAAAAAAAAAAATAAAAAATAGTTTAGTGCAAGATGGTGCCAATTCAGGCTTTCCTTCTCCCCTTAGTTTCTTCCCTTCCTGTAATTTTCTTTCCTTGTTGTCTATAGCTCTACTGTCCCCTTGTTTCAGGCTTTAAATCAATGATGCCTTTACCTCTTGCAAAGGCAACTGCTGTAAAATACAGCACCAAAACGTAACTTTCAAAGACTGAAAAATCAGTCTTTATTTTTCATGATCAGTGCACTCTCCTTTGGATTTGGTTCCATCCCCCACAGACTATTTTGTTTGCTGTCACTGCCCCAGTCTTTAATACACTATGCAGAACTAGCCATGCTGATGCTGATCCACACAAACGCTCTTCTACTACAACTCATGTATATCAGCAAACCAGAAATTTAGTCATGCCTAGGAATGGTATTTGCAAAGTATATCTACATAGGCAAAATTAATATAAGTGTTGTGATGCCACCCAGCTGACTGAGACAGTGTCCCTGCTACATATTAAACCAGTTCCTCAGACAGTGCTCCTTAGTCAGCACTGTTTCATTGGAAAAGCTTTTTCACTGACTTTGCTCGTGTCCACTTCAATAGGCTGGGCCATGGGAAGGCATTATTATACAGGGAAATAATTTTTCCAGCACTAAGATGACTAAGGACCATTAGCTTTGAGGACAATTTTCAGAAAAGGTGAACAGCTGGTAGAACCAGAATGCAATGAAGCATTTTGCAGAGAAAAGAAATCTTCTGTTTCTTCCTATTGCTTCCCCATTTCTCTTTCCTTTTCAATGAAGGTACTGAATTTCATAGGTTTAACTCTTGATACTAGTGTAAACGATAAGAACTTTTAATGATATCTTTTACAAACCTTGTTCTTTTCCTTCACAATATATTGTGCTACAGCAATGTAATTCCAGTCTTCAGGAATAAATAAGACAGAACTGACTCCAAAATACTACTTTTCTGAAACCTGTCCCAATTTTGGTATGATTTTATATCATCAATTTCATACTCTTAGAAAGAAAAAATAACTACCCCACTTTCAATCCACACATAAGTGATGCAAATTTGATAAGAGGTTCATGTTTTATCATCATACATTAAAGGAATCTATAGTAGGCAGTTTTGCTTAAATTTGTTTGCAGACTGCAAACACGTTCACATAACTCTGTATCCCTCAATAAGCCAGACCAACTACCTTCACACATCTTCCAAGCAGCTCACAGCAGAACAATGTAATTTTCTTTCTTTTAATTTCTACTCTCCTCTTCAGTGTTGTTTCCAAGTTGTCTTGTTACTACTCTGAAACTCACAATTACAGAACGATGTCTATGTTCTTACAAAAGTCACACTTTAATCAAAGTTTTCAAGGCAATGCTCATGCTCTTAGAGGCAATGAACCCTGATGTGAATAACTCAGAGGAGGTCCACAGTTTAGTTTAACACTTGCTTGACAAAGACACACTGTTAACACACAGTTGTACCATCCACTCGGGCTCCCAAACTTGGTGTGGTGCTATTCACTGTGTACAGGACACTTTAGAAATCCGTGTTTCTAAATACATGTATTTATAAATACGTATTTAGAAGCAGCTGCTTAGCTTTGGATGGAGGAAAGTCTTATCATGTCTACTGATGTCATTCTGAAACATATTAAATCATGGAATATTATGGGTTTGGAATGGACCTTAAAGATCATCAAGTCCCAACAGCCTCTGCCATGTGCAGGGACGCCTCCCACTGGACCACACTGCTCAAGGCCTTATCCAGCCTGGCCTTGAACACTGCCAGGGTTGGAGCACACACAGCCTCCCTGGATAACTTATTCCCTTGTTCCAGCATCTCACCACCCTCACAGTAAAGAATTCCTTCCAAATATCTAATTTAAAATTCCCTTTGTTGAATTTGTATCCCTTACTCTGTGTCTTCTCACTACAGTTCCTGACAAAGAGCCCTTCTCCAGCTTCCCTCTAGGATTCTTCAAATACTGGAAGGTTGCTGAAGTCTCCACACAATCTCCTCCAGGCTGAACAGCTCCAGCTTTCTCAGCCTGTGTTCATAGCGGAGGTGCTCCAGTCCTTTTATCAACTTCGCGGCCTCCTTTTGACTTGCTCCAACAGCTCCATGTCCTTCTTATGTTGGAAACACCAGAACTGTATACAGCACTCCAGCTGGGGTCTCAGCAGAGAAGAGGGGCAGAATTACCTCCCTCTCCCTACTGGCCCCAATGCTGCTTTTGATGCAGCCCGAGTTCGATTGCCTTTAGGGCCTGCGTGCATACATTTGCCGGCTCATGTTGAGTTTTTCATCAGTCATCACTCTCAAGTCTTTCGGCTCATCCTTCAGCTCTTCTGGCACTGGACAAACTTGGGGAGGGGTCGGAGCAACGACCCCTCAGGCACGGCAGGGCCTGGCAGCCAAGGAGATGGCAGGCGGCCTCCCCCGCGGAGCAGTTCATGCAGGCGGGCGGGCAGACCCCGCCAGAGGCCGAGGCCGAGGCCGAGGTCGAGGTCGAGGTCGAAGTCGAAGTCGAGGTCCAACCCCAGTCCCACCAGGCCCTGCCAGGGCGGGCAGCCGCAGCCTCAGCCTCACTTCCCCCGCCCGCCGCGAGGCGGGGCGGGGCGGCTGCGAGGGGCGGCGCCTCCGCGATCCCCGGGCCGTGCCGGGGGGAGGTGGCGGCGGCGGCGGCGGCGGCGGATCCGGGCCCAGCGGAGGCGGAAGGGGCGGGCGGACGTGGCCCTGACTCTGCGGGACGCGCGATGCTGGTGAGTGTGGAGAGGCCGCCGCGTTGTGTCGCAGCGAGGCCTGGCCCAGCTTGGCCTGGTCCGGCAGGACGCGAAGGCGGCGGCGCGGGGCCTGGCACTGAGTCACGCCGCGGGGAACGGGGGAAGGGACGGTCGGGCCCGGCCCGCCCGCCTGCCTTTCTTCTCCCGGGCGCGCTCCCGACCCCGGAGCGCGGAGGCGGCGGTGGTGGCTTCCTGGCCCGCTGGTGGATCCAGCCCCGGGCCGCAGCGGGGAGGCCGCGAACTGCGCACTCAGAACGCGTCGCCCCGTCGGGGTGCGGGAGTGCTCCGCTGGCTGCCCCGGCCCCGCAGGATTTGCCCGGCCGTCGGGGAGCTGCCCGTTCACTCCGTCCTTCCCCCCCTCCGTCCTTCCCCGGCCTTCCCCCATGACCGCGGCCCCCGCATGGCCAGGGCGCCTCGGCGGCTGCCCCAGCTTTTCCGTCCCGCCCTGGCGGCTCTCAGACCTCGGGCCCGTCCTCCCGCAGCCCTCGCTGTGCTCCTGTCGGCCCCGCGACTGCCCATCCCAGGCCCTGCACGTCCCACGCCTCTGCCTTTTTTTTTTCCCCTGTGAGCTTTTGTCCGTAACCTCACCGGGTTTTGGGGTGTTCACCTATTCTTTGTCCTCTCTGTCCTTTTCTATGCTGCTTCCTTTCACGTATCCCAGCTATCTCCATAGCCCTAGTGACACTCAGGTCTGTCTAGGAGCTTTTTGATTGTATATTCCCTAGTGCGCGCAGTACCATCGTGGCTGGGGGATGTTTGCCACAGTTCATCTTTGTCAACTTCTCTACGTTTCTCTTGCTCTCAAGGACTGTGCGCCAGGCTTCCTCTTGTTGCCACCTACTGTTCTGGCCTTACCAGAGGAGGTGCCCCCTGTAACCTTCTGTTTGTCTATTTGTGTATTTATTGTCTCTATCCAGATGACTAGTTCTGCATTTTTTGTTGTTTCAAATAACCAGCTCAGTTGTTTCCCAGTAACTTTGCCACTGCAAGCTAACTGTGTCCTGATTGGGATCCTTTCCCCATCCTTCTGGTTTCCTCTTGAAGTTCTGTTCCAGCACTGTCATTATCCCTCTGTTACCTTTCCTCTTCCAATTTTCTTCTTCCCAGTAACCATTTTCTTCATGTTTTTTTGCCCTTCTGATCTTACTTTCCTGTCATTAAAACTTTCCTTGTGATCTCACCTAATACTTTTTTCTTTGCACATATTCCTTTTCTTTGTAGATTCATATGCTATCTCCCCCACTTTGTATTTAAATCCTCTAGTTAAGCCTTTGAGGAGAAAGGAATTTAACCTAGGTTATCTGAATACTTGTGTTCTGCTTTCAGCTGGCGTAAACACTGGAAGGGGAGAGATGACTAACTTGTTTTATCTTATTTTGTTTTGATTTTTTATTGACTTCCTCAGCAACCTTTCCCTTGGTATATGTGTTCATATATGATCACATACCTCAGCCTTAGTACAAACACATGCCCTGACTCAGGGGAGAAAAATCTCTGTATTGGAAAACCTTTTGGCCAGACTGGGAGGAATGGTCCACGGGGGCCAGAAATATACACTACATAGTTTGAATTAGGCCAAATAATGCTTGTAATACTATTTTGTGAATTGGTACATAGTTGATATGGAGTGTATTTGGGATGCCTCCTCTTTGGGGAAGTAGTAAGATACTATACAGGTGGTATGGTACGTAGTTTTTACTCACAGTGAACTGCTGTTATGTTGTGTGTTGATAATTAGGTGTTTGTGTGGCATCACCATTTTGTGTTTCTAATGGTGACTTGACCAGAAAGAAATCTTTTCCATCTGCTTTGTTATTTCTTGTTTTCAGTATTTGTTGTCCAACTTCTTATTTTGTATTGTCTTTGTTGCTTTGGTTCTTAAGGTTGGTTACATTTCACAGTCACCTCATGACCACATATTTGAGGTGCAGTTTAAACACTGGACACACTTGCCCCATGGAGTCATGGTGAACACATTTGATCTCCAGAGTAATTTGTACACCTGACTCTAGAATCCTGGTTCAGTGCCTTGCGTTAACAATGTTTCTGGAGGAAACTCTCTATTACTTATCCAGGGATCATGTAGAAGACAGTCTTAGTTTAGGCAACTAAATTAGGCATGTGCGTTCTCTTCTTTGGCTGACAAAATAGTGGTGGTGGTGGTTTAGCAAAATTATTTTTCTTCCACCTTACTCCTTTGTACGCTGGTTTGAACTGGCCTTAAAACTTACTGTTTTAACTAACTGACCTGTTACTCGAACTGTTGGCATTAGAAAATCGCATTGCTTTAATTTAAATAACCTAAATTCATTTAAGCTAAATGGATGCACACCCTTATTTCGATACTGCTTTGGAGGTGCCTCTTTTTTGATTTAGCTTATTTGTAGTCTTGGTGCAAGTTCTTGGATTTTAGCTGTATCATTGTGAAAACAATACTGAGTCCTTAGAGAAAGTTCTCAGATATTCAGCTTAAAAATTGTTATCTTACAACTTGCATGCTAAGATCTCAAGAGTACTGCTTTTCATCTGTTGTGTTTCTTAGGTGGTGCCTAGTTTTGTGTAGTTACAATTATTTCAGTAGAGCCTAACTTAGTGATGAATCATATCCCAGATGCCAGTGGTTGCATGAATTGGGAATACCTGGAATCTTCTGTCTTGCCACGGAAGTTTGATTTGTATTTTTTTTTAACTGATCAAAAGCTCCACAAAATTCTAGTGAATGAAACAGCCTTTAAAGATATTCCACTTGCACGTACACCACTCTCAACATCAAATATTTGTGTTATGAACATGAAGTGAGGGATTTCCTAGTAAGAGGTCAGTGTGTTACCAACTCTGCTGTTGTGCTTCCCATGCTGTCCAACAGGATCTGTCGCTGTGCATCAGAAGGAAAACAGGGTAGATGTCCCACTTGGATGGGCTATCAGGAGGATGTGCACAGGCAGTCATAGCAGCCTGCAGGTTTATACAGTCTTCCTGCTGCACAGACCTGGAAGAAAGAAGAGTATAGAAAGCTTGGCCTTGGAAGTTCTGCAGGTGCTTTAGGAATGCATGATCTCATTTTAAACAGAATACTTCGGTGCTAGCATGTTTTTTAGGTAAGAATAGTCTTGATCAATCGATCTCTTGCACTAATAGAAACATTTAGTTAACTGTATTTTTCAAGCTTATGTCCGTGTAAAGAAACAGTTGTTGGAACCAACATTTAGAGATCTGGTTACAAATTATAATCTATACAGCATGCAAACTTAAACTACGATTTTTTTGTTTGTAATGGAGACCACTGAGTTTCTCTTGCTTGATAAAGGAGAATTTTCAGTAAGAAAATATAATGATTGGAAAATTACAGAGACATGTTGAGCTTGTCTACATGAGTAACTTACTGTTTTATTGTAAGAGTTGTAGGTTTTTTCAATAGAACTACTACTAGAACAAGAACAGATTGACTGTTCATGTTTCTACAGCGCTGCAGTCCAGATTTGTTACAGACATGACTAAATAACTTGATAATAAAATTGCTTTGTGCTGATGTGCTGTGCTATAGTGCCGTAACTTGTAGCCTTTAATGTAACCAGAGATTTAAGCACTCATTGCATTATACCAGCTCTGGAAAGAGCACTGCTTTAGGAGATGATCTGTGTCCCACTGGGTACTTCTCTGTCAGTTTTCTCTTTACCCTTTACCCACAGGACCGCTGATGTCACAAGAGATAATCTCTTCCTGTTGCTGCCTTACCTCTTCTTATAAATGATACAAGTCAAAATCAAATACTTTTTTTTAAACTGAATCAAACATTTATTACATTCCATTTTATTTAATGTAGTGTTTTTCAACACTACACAGCACAATTCTTTATCTGTGAACCTTAGAAAAATGAATGAAGGCTACTGTGAAAATAGGAAAATAGTAATTTCATTTTGCACTTCAGGGAATGGGTATAGAGTAATATTTAAATTTTTGCCGGAGTTGATGTCTCTTTCTCTCCAAAACTGCACACTTTCTTTGCCAGTTGTGTCCTTAACTTAAGAAGCAGGTGATTGATTCTCAGCCTCTGTTCTGCTCTCTGAGAGCCCTACGTGGGGCACTGCATCCAGCTATGCACAAGCGAGATGGATTTATTGGAGCAGATCCAGGGGAGGGCCACAAAAGTGATCAGAGTGATGGAGCACCTCTCCCATAGCTGAGAGAGCTGGGGTTGTTCAGCCTGGAGAAGATTCCAGGGTGACCTTATTGAGGCCTTTATTTGGTATGTAAAGTGGAATTATGAGGAAGATGGAGAGAGACTTTTTACGATGGCCTGTGGTGACAGGACAAAGGACATAAATTTTAAATGGTAAGAGGGTAGATTTAGGTTGGCTGTAAGGAAGGAATTCTTTACTGTGGTGGATGGTGAGGCATTGGAACAGGTTAAACGAAGAAGTTGTGGATGCCCCATTTCTGGCAGTGTTCAAAGTCAGGTTGAATGGGGCTTTGAGCGTCTTTATCTAGTCCAAGAGGTATATCTGTGGCACAGGAGTGGTTACTAGGTGATGTTTAAAGGTGCCTTTCAACCTAAACCATTTTATGGTTCTTGAATAAACAGTGTAACTTCAATGTGATGTTCTTCCAAAATCTCAGGAAAAGAATTTGTATTGTGTCCTTCTCTTCCCCTTTGGGTTGTTCGGGTTTTGGAGTCAAAATATTCCCTGCTTTAGTTTGGTCTAGTGGATACAAGGCATTGCTTGACAGCAAGACTCAGAATAAAAAGGATTAAGAAGATGTATTTTCTCTGACATCTTTGTAGTTATGCATTAGATTTGAGTATGTCTCGGTTTGAAAGACAGGTATTTGCTAAGAAAAGGCGAGAACACCTTTCCTGAGATGCAGAGTGCAACCCCCTCCCTTTTAATTATTTTAGTTTCAAATCAGAGGCTGTCAGGCAGGAGATATGGGGATAGGAATAACAGTTCTTTACTGATACCTAACAAGGCACACAGCAGAAACACCATCATCTATAAAAGCTGACCCCAGAGCAGAGCAGTGTAGCTCAGTTCCAGTCCCTTTTGGCCACAGGCTCCCTCTCCCTGCGCTCAGTTCCCGGTGCTGTGGGCAGGGCAGGGCTCGCTCAGCTGAAGGCGCTGGGTGATGGCGGCGGCGGCCCAGGGCTGAGGGGGATGGAGGAGCCGCTCCCCCTCACGGTGTCGGTCGTGGTGCTCGGCACAGTGCCCGGGGGCAGTAGGGTGAGGTGGGAGGGCAGCAGAGCGGTGTCTGACAGCAGGGAACGTGGCTCCCGGCGCTGGGATGGCGGGAAGGATGCTAGCTTGGAGCACGGGCCGTCCTCCTCTCACTCCACGAGCCAAGCGAGAGCCAGAGAGAGCCCGCCCCAGACCCCTGTCCCACCTTTCCTTTTCCGGTCTCCCCCCACCTCCACCCACCCCCCTGCGAGAGAACATTATAGTTTTCTAAGGTGTAGCCACAAATACTTAGCATAACAATGGGAGAAATTCCACAGAAAGAAAAGGGAACAATTCAACCCCCAACAGAGTATCAGTTCAGTGCCATTGACTTCTTTTTTCTTTAAATAGAAGTACTTAAAGGTGATACAAAATTCTCATTGTCTTTGGATTTCATTAGATTTGCTCTAGTTTATATTGCTGTTGTCTCAGGCCTGGTGTTATCGTGCAGAAGAAATGGATTTACATGTAGGATAGTGAGGATCATGATGGAAAGTTTCTGCAGAGCAGGGAGTTTCTCCCTCTGCTCTGGTAATGTACTTATCTTTTGAAGACATGCACGTGTTTCTTCTATTTTATTGGAGATTGGTGGCTTTGCTCCTGGTATCCAGATGTATTTGATTCATTAATATATGAGGTAGACAAAAGTGAAGTTTTTAAATTTGAAGCAGGGACCTACAAAAATTTGGGTTATTAGTAAATTTCAGCCATAACTGAACCCAGAAACTGGAATTTTAATATTCATTTGATGTAACTTGGCTTTTTGTTGCTCTGTGTTTCCGGTTGGACAATATCTTAATATGGATTAGAGTTCAGACCTGAGGCTGGTGGTGTGACCTTAGTTCACCCTGTTTTGCTCTGTAATTTAAACTCAGTTTCATGTGTAAATTTGCAAGCTCCACTAGTCTCACAGATGGTGGAGACTGTCACTTGGAAGTTTTATCTAAAGTTTGGAGGAGCGAATAAGGGGAAAAAGAGGATTTTAGGAACTAGTTCTTCATTTCTTAACTGTTGGTCTTTTCATCTTGATTTTCATGGTAATAATTTCATGGGCAAATATTCTGCTTGCTGTTGGGTAGCCAAAGGATAAACTTTTCACTGTATAATTGAAAATGCTTTTTTAGAATGTTTGCATTTTCTTAAGAAAACAGACTGTTCTATTACTCTTTTTTTTCAGGGATAGCTTTGAAAAAGTTATTTCTGAAAGTGTGCCTGTGCTAGGATACCATCACTAATAGGAGTTGCATAAAATCAAAGTTTATATCCTTAAGTATTACATTGATTTTTGTTAGATTCTAATGCAGGCTTGGCTTTAAAACTTAATGGCGCTAACTTAATCAACAAGAAGGAGGATTTAAATGTGGGTATTAGGGATGTGTGGCAATTATAACTTTTATTAAATTAAATCGTTTCACCTCTATACCAAGGGTGCTGCAGTCATTAGGGATCAAAACTGATTAAAAAATTGCTGAAAATGATACTGAATTTAAACAGAACTAACTTTTTGTGAGGTATAAATTATTTGCTGTAAGTTAAGGCTGGTAGAATTCAGACTTCGTAGTTGAACCAGAAAAATTACTTTCTAGATTTTAATGAGAAAGTTCTCATTCTTTTTTGGGCTGACTGTGTTTAGGCGTCTGGAAATAAGTATATGAGAGGTATACTGTTCATCGTCAACACTGTTTGCAGCATTACACCACAGTATGAATCAAGATCACTAGCTTGTATATCCGTGCACTTAATGTAGACACAATTTAAAAGGAAAATAAGAAAATAAAGAGGGAGTGGCTTTCACAGGTCGTGATTTTGTCACATGCAGGAAATGAATGTAAGTAACTGCAACAGTCCTTGATTTATCCATTGTCACTTCAGAATGAAACGTTAGTATGAAGGTGAATATGGGAGGAAGCTCTTCAGTATTTAAGCTGTGTTCTTGTGGTACATTTGAATAGTCTAAACATTTCAGACTATAGTCTGAAAATATCAGACTGTTGTCAGGATCAATCAGTGTGACTGTCACTTTATTTATAAATTGAAGTGGCAAACTGGATTGCCTTGATCAGTCGAGCTCTTGCACAAGTAACAAGAGGGAAGAAGTTATAAAATTAGCAAGCTGTTGGGAAGAGATTCCAGCCAGAATTGGTTTGTTGCTTGTTAGCAACATGTTAATGGTTGTCTTAGAGTTACTGGTAAGAACTGCTGCCTTCCAAGAGCATGGAAAAACTGTGTTGAAATATTATTGCAGGTGAAAATTCCGGTTTGTGTCTTTAACAGGGTATTATGAAAGTGTATGTTGTGGTGCATTGAGTACTGTTACAATGTTGCGAGAATTCTGTTAGGGTTCAGAGGCTTGCCCTGGATGTTCTGTTCTGGTGGAGGTCATACTGTGTCTGAAGCAACGACCCTAATGTTTTCTTGGTGGAGATCAGTAAGGTTATGATGTTTTAGCTTATTAAGTTGGATTTAGTTGAAGTTTTGATATCTGGTAAGATCTTTGGGAAAGCAGTTACATAGAAGAATTGTCTTTGCAGTATCATTAAGGTCTCTAAACTGGCCCAAGGTATTTAACTTTTTTCCTTTCCAAGAAAACAAGGTATATTGCTCTGTCTTCTCCTTAGCACTTTGGGTATCTAGCAATTTTCATGGCTTGTCCTCCTTCATTTTCCTTTTCTGCATCTTCCTGACTGATTCAAGAAGTGCATCTTCATGTGCATTGTCCTTCATTATTTATGTTTATTTGGGTTTCATTGGGCTTTGTTTTGTCTTTTGCTTTCTTGTTTGTTTTGATTTTTGTTTGAGTTTATTTATGCAGGTTGTATCATATATATGATTTAAGCCAGAGAGAAAGTGCGAATATTCCAGGCTCTTTATCTTACTGTGGTGGT